ACAGTACCCTCAATGGGTTGTCAGGCTTATGAAACCCAATTTTCATTTACTGTACTTCTGTAACTTCTGTTTGGAGGCATCAAGCTTAGGTGTTCAGATATTATGTAATTGACTGACAATAAGCAGTGCTAAATTAGGGCTAGTGACCCAATTATGTGTGAAATCGTGTTTCAACGACAAAGACTTCTTTAATCGTCTGGTGTTAGCCAAATAAAATATTAAAAGTAAGTATCTATCACTTACTAACTGATACGAAAAGAAAAAAAAATGAAAATTTTGAACATAAGTGTAGCTCCACAGACAGAATCTAAATGGACCAGCATTTATAGCACGCATTTTTCGGGTGGGAAGACGACGTATTTAAACAGTGATCCAGTAATATTTGCATGGTCAGCTGATTCATCTTCAGTGATCTGTGCATATAACAAGAAATTACCACTTCCATCCTTTGAATATTGAGACCACAAAGGTACCAAGCTGAAGATGTAATTAATAATTGATAATCTGATAATCAATCTATTTGACCAAAGACAGCGGACAAAGTCATGAGAGGCTTCTTTCTAGTTGAGTCCTTATGCCAGGAGCATCTGGGTCAGGCAGACAACAAGTGGTGTTTCAATTTGCCGGTGGGATGTGCACTTATCAGTCAGATCAGACCAGTTCAGCCAGTGAAAAAGTAATATTTCCTTTCTGTACAGTACATTTAAATAATGTGCAAATAGTAATTAGTAATTGGGTCTTCTCAGTTTGTTAGTAGAAACAGATGATTTATTGTAGTCTTATGTGCTGATTTAAAAAAAAATGTAATGGAACAAGTTAAGATGGGTTAGAGGGTGTTGAGCCTTGTAACCAGGTTCCAGATCTTTTTAGTTTGATAAACTTAATTTTTTCAGTAGAAATACACGATTTTATTATAGTTTAGGTGTTGACTTAAGAAATGGGTAATACTTTCTGACAGTTGCTCGCCTGAACCAACAAATAAATGGGAAGGAATATGGTTTCATCATATTATTTTAAGATTTTTTCCATCTTTTTTAAGTTTTTTGTGTTCCTCTTCCACACTGGAAATCTCACCAAACAACCCTGGTTCTGACCATGAGGAACATGGGCTGGAAGTATTTTGGGATTGGAAAGGGAAAATGTATCAAGGAGATGGGGTGTATAACAATGTAACTGAAGTGAACTCCCAAAGTATGTTACATACCATATCATTCAATTGTAGTGGGAAGAATCTCCCCCCCACACACCTTCCCCCTGACAGTTCCAAAGTCTTTGGTAAGAAACATTGTGCTGTTTGCTTTTGTCTCATATTTATTTGTGTGCAAAACATTCTTTTTAACTTTTCATCAAAAATACAAATATCCTCAGTGTCTTGCAAAATATGTGTACACATCTCTTGATAATGAAAGAAAGTATGGATGATTACATTTAGTCAATCACATAGCCTGAAAATTATCTAACCAATCCAAGCATTGGACACAAGTACAGTGACTTAATGTGGGACACTTAAAAAATACAGCACACAGAAAGGCTTTAGTCTAGTACTAGTATGGTTAACATACTGCATGTGTAACTTTTCCTGGGCTGAGGGTACAGTTGCCTGCACTTATACCAGGTACAGTATAAGTGGCTGATATGTTTTGTGAGATGTAGCAACTCTGCATTTGTTTACATCATATCTCTGCATTTATTTACATCATATTAAAACTCCTGGAATGGCCATGAGGAACCTCACAATAGTAACCAGACAAAGGATGCTAGATTAGCATTCCAGAGTTGCCACACCTCACAAAGTGCACCTGCCACTGTACCAGGTATAAGTACAGGTGACTATACCAATGATGGTATGTTATTTCCTCATTCAAATCATGGAAGGGTGAGACAAGCTTCCCTTGACTATCCCCTGGATCCACCCTTAGCATGAGAAATATGTGCAGTTCAATAATAATATTAATCAAAGGGAATAACAAGTGTCTGTCCATCACATTACACTTACTGTATATCTTAAAAAATTAATTAATTTTGCAGGCGATGGTGATGGTGTTCCTGTGAAGTATGAATGTACAGGTGGTCTTTATTTCAATGACCAGAAGCACAGCTGTGACTTCCCTGAAAATGTATCATGTGAAGAACGCCGTAGAAGGATGTACAGCGAGGAGAACAACCAGAAATACATCAAACGTAAGTTATTATAGTACAGTACAGTTAACCCTCACTTTACGCGGTCCCGCATTCCGCGTTTCCACGTTTACGCGGTGCCCTGCCGGAACCCAGGATGCTCACATTCCGCGGTGCGTGTACCCCTTTACGCGGAGAGCGGCTGGCGAGCCGCGCCATTTTTGGATCCAAACCTCCCGCCATCCGCCATGTTGTGTAAGCTGCGCGAACATGGTGCGCACAAGGTCGCCCAGTCATCAAAACATTACCAGTTCTTCACCCGCCACCCACCACAGCCGGCCCAAGTCAGTGATAGTGATAATTATGGTGAGGATATGGACTTATATGGACTTTGGGGAGTTTGACAAAGAGGCCCTGCAAGCCTCTGTGGTGGATAGTGATACAATTGATACAAGTGACACAGGTGAGGGCCAATAATCTGCCCTCTGCCTCGGAACCAACCGCCCATCCCCGTGTGCCCAGCCATTTTTTCTACTAATGTAAGTGTTAAAAAACCTAATATTATTGATATTTCTCTTAATTATTAATTGTGTGTGCATACCATCATAAAGTTAAGATAATATTTTTACTACAACATAGTTGTGTGTCGTCAAAAAGTGGAGTTTGGGGATCGGCCCGGACTCCATTTCAATTAATCCCATATGTTGTTATTCACTTTACGCGTTTCTCACTTTACGCGGGACCCTCCGGGTTACATTAACCGCGTAAAGTGAGGGTTAACTGTATATATGAAATGCAGTATATATTACATTCACCTGCTTATTAAGCATTTAAAATCTTATACCGGTACTGAACTGTACTTGGCCTCCATATTGACAAACAGCCTTACACTTACCAGGTTTCATGCACTTTGGTGGGTGCTAGGTGAGGTTATCCTGCTGTCCCATTACATTGTACTGCATCTTCAAGTTTGCTGCCATTTGGGAAAACTTGCTAACTAAATAATAATTATCTTATTATCTTACATTGTGATGGCCATAATTTGTTCTGATAAGTCTGCTGCCCTTTGGGCATAATTAATTAACTAAAAAAGTTTCTGAGATGGAAGTGACTTATTGCACTGCGGGAGAAGCTCATAAGCTCGCCACCATCTGCTTACTGCGAATAGTCGAAACTGCAAATCGCATACCCATGAATAACAAGGGTTTATTGCGTTTTTAGCATTAACACTGTCATTAATGGTTCATTCATCACACTTTGGGGGATATACATGACTTGAGTCATATATAATGTTTTGCACCACTCATACAAGAAAACTTACGTGGCAAATTTTTATGACAAATGAAGAATTACTAATATTGTATGTAATCCTGAATCTATAAACATAATTCTAAATTGTTATGGGATACAGTAATGTAAGCACTGCACAGTACTTGGCCAAGCATAGTTTATTGACCACATTCAGTAATCTGTAAACTGACAGTGTAAAATAAGGCATTGTCAAAATAAGAACAGGTGAATATTTTACTCCTGAAGATATACTTAACATCACACAACACAAAAATCTAATTGTAATCAGTTTTTTGTGAAAGGAAATAGGACACAACAGTATTTGAAAAGTGCAGAACAAAGGAATTTTAAGAAAATGTAGAGTACCTATAACTGTTCAATTTCAATTTATATATAGTACTATTTGAGGCTGCATAGTAGTATATTTTAGTTAATAAATGTATAGCTATAACTCCACAGCCCCCCCCCCACCCACTAATATATGTACCGTAACTCTTTGATCATCTTCAGCGGAGGACTGCAAGACTCTCGAGGGATTTTTTGCCATGAAGAATAGTCCAAAATCCTACTACCTGTGTAGCAAGGGCATTACCTTTGTCCTGCGCTGCCCAGATCACAGTGTGTTCAGCTCAACTGTGGGCAGGTGTCTCCTCATCAAGTGATCCTACCATGAACACAACAAAATATGAAAATAAGATCAATGACAAGTCGTGCAATACGACTCAGAACGACGAAGGTGGCATGTGTCATGACTGTATTATTATATACTGTATCTAAATTAGCAATTTGTGTTAATTATCATTCGTCAATTAATATTGTACACAGCAATTAGGAAAAACTTATACAGTGGGGTATGCTATAACGAACGGATCCTACTACGAATATTCCCATAACGAACGGTTTTACCTATAAAATTGAGAATGCTATAACGAACAAAACTCCTACAATGAACATTATTTTTTTTTTATATATACAAGTATTAATGATATGCTTTATTTCAGGGGTTTAGATGCATATTTATGCACTTTTTTACAATTATTACAATTTTATATTATATTTTTCAGTGTTAAGTGGTTGTATTTGGGGGCCTGGAACGGATTAATCCTATAACGAACAAGGTTCTAGAACCAATTAGATTCGTTATAGCATACCCCACTGTATAATTATTAGAAACACTGGTTATGATGATGATCAGCTTTTTAAGAATAGGACCTAGTGAGAGGTTTTCAAACATCTTTCATGGTAAGATGTTGCAAGAGTAATAACGGGGTTGTTTAATGTTGAGATTTTACAAAAGGTTATGACTAAAATGTTACTAGTTATAATATGTTTGGTGCTAGAATGTTGTATGAATTTTGGTTATGTTTGGTGTTAGAATGTCATCAGTAATGATACCAATGTTGTGAGGTCAGAATGCAGATGACTCTTTATCACCAGGCAGAACCAGAAAGTAGTAAAACTTTTTTATAGTCAGATAATTATAAGTTGAACATAACTGAACAAGATGACTGTGTTGGTAGTATTTGATGGAAATAAAGATTTATACACGAGTTGAAATTATGTTTTTATAAAAATACAGTACAGGTATATCC